ATTTGTCTTTCATGTTTTCATTTACGACATAATTCAACGAACGACTGTCGATGGGAACGACTTACGACAACCAGAATAGGGGTGTTTATATATAATTAGAATCACTTACTCGCAAAGAAATCGCCTTTTTAAATGTTTTATTGCATTGTTTGCATGCGAATACTTCTTTGGGGTGCACATAGAACATGTGACTATAAAGCGCTGGACGGTTCTTATAAGTGCGCCCACATTCCTTACATGTGAGTACCTGCCCTTCGACACTGTGCCGTTTCATATGATGCCGTAAATTCTCTGCATCTTTAAGCCAGCGATCGCAGTCTGGCCTTGGACATTTTATTCGGGGTTCACTATCTCCGATATGTACGCGTAGGTGCTTTTCAAATGCGGCTTTGCTGCGTATCTCTTTGGCACATACATGGCAAACGCGCTTTGCCCGACGATGCTGCATACTAATGTGAATTTTCAACAAGCGGCTGCTAGCGAAACGACTACTTGGACATTGATCGCAAACGAATGCGTGCTCGCTCTTGGGCACATGCGAAGGACGGTGCAATTCTAGCAAATATTTACGCGAGAACTTTTTTGGGCATTGGTCGCAGGCAAAGTTCAGTTCTTCTTCAGGTGCATGCGCGCTAATCATATGAGATCTTAAAGTTGTACTATCGGAAAATACTCTTTGACATTCTTGACACCTAAAAGTGGGAATAATTTTTACGCTGCAAAAATGACGAAACTACGCATGTATGCATATTTAAAATTGAAAGCAGTTGTCATACTTAAAAAAATGAGGATCCTCGTGTTTATACGCGTGCTGCACAACTCTACAACGTTGCGTAAACTTTTTATTACAACAACGTATGTACGCTTTAATGTTAGGATGCTGTAATCGAAAGTGTTTGCTTATTGCAAAGAAATCTTCACCAACAAACGCACATAGATCACAACCCAGGACAATGTGTTTTTTCACAATGGCGGCGTCTTGTGAATTTGATTTGATAACCTTTTGTTTTGGTTTTGCCTGTTCATCATTATCAAATTCATTATCACCGTTATCGTGTTCTGCCGCAGTTTTGAATTCTTTGTCTCCTGGAGGCCTTCCGCGAACACTCTTTCGTTTCTGTCCGACTTTGCCAGTACATGGAGTAATTTCTTCTGAAGAATGATACAATGTTCGTAATATACAAAAACTTATTCAAAAACTCACCTGCCAAGTTTAATTCAACATTTAACTCTTCCTTGACCTTACTTTCTGCCGCACAATCCTCACATTCCGGTACAGCCAAAGGATTAAGTGTTTCCTCAGCTTGCTCGGTCTGAAGTAGATGTTCCAAACACTCTTCTTCCTTTATTTGATACGAACTTTCGACAAACTCTTCATTCTCAACTCGGCTAACTGCTCCGTGCTTCACGTCGGTCCTGTTCAAAAGGAATTGTGCCTTTTCCACTGCTAAATAGAACTGATGGAATTCACTTACTTTCTGCCAACATAAGCGACATATCGCTGTTGAAATGGTGTCAGTCGGAAGGAGCTAGTGCAAATGATAATTAAATCTATGTAAGTGGAGGAATAATTTGTTTGCCCGAAAGTTATTAATTATGTACATAAAACCAAAAATGCCGCTCTAGTATGCCCGCAATCCCCAGTTGTTCTCCATTGGCATCAAATATTTCTAAACAGCATTCCGCTTCTTTCAAGCAAACCCGACATAACATTTTATTAAAAACGAAACTATTACGATGGCCGTTTTGTAGAGGTGGAAAATTATCGACCGTACTACCGATATATCGATGGTTTTTGTTTTACAAAAAGACTATCGACGTTTTAAGACTACCGATGTTATCGGCTGTAATGCAAGATCAATAACCCGGCGTTTACATGAGACACTTTTGCCAAGGCAATATCAACACATTCACACTTTTTCACTACTACACTCACACAAAGACAATTGCCGTCGTTACTGTCTTTTCGAAGACGGTGTTTTGGACTTCTTTTCGGTGATTGAAATGATAAGCAGCGAGATGTCCTTAATTTTTCAAAGCGCCTCTAGAAATGTCTTCCGGATAGGGGTTTTTTACATACATTGGCATTAAGGATGTAGTATCTAATACTAAAAGTGTTATATAGTAGAATTAAAATGAATGGGATACTTTTGTTGGCTCAATCTGGTGGTTACCTTGTGTTAAGGCCACCGTGTCTATTTAAGTGAATCAAAATAAAAAGCATAATTTTCGTGTACTTTGATGAAACGTGGAATAAAATCCAAACTAATAGAGGTGTTTTCCCCATTTTCACCACATTCCTTGGAAATTGATCATTGTTCAATAGGAGATCAAAAAGAAACTCCGATACCCAAAAATCCAGATATGACCTCAGATCTGTATGTGTATCTATTCAAGAGAAGCAGGGTGTACATAACTCCGGCTACGCCATGCACAGTATTTTTGCGCAAAACCCACATCAAAATTCACAAAAAATCCTTTGACTAAACCGTACCCAAGTTTCCCGATAAGGGGCAGCAAATATTCTTTTTTGTTCCTTCATATAAAGCATTGGATAAAAATATAAATATGTACATATGTAGGTATATGAGCCATTCTTTTTTAAGTCGGATGGATTTCGTAAAAATAAATTATGTCATGTCTCCGATTCGCTTAAAATCTTTTTTGTGGTTTCTATACATGAATCGAGGAATTTTTTTCCTCTCTTTTTTCTTCTGAGATATGATCTGTCAAAGTTTGCATTTTTTCGTGATTTTGACTAATCATGTACTTCTTCAAAACGTTATATCTCGGGTTCTGCTGATCGTAGAGACTTCATCTTAACGTCATTTTAAAGCTAAGAAACGGGCTTAACATTTCTATATTAAAGGTGGTCAAGATTGTCCTAAAGCTAACTTAGCTATTAACAGTTGAACTTTTTGAAGTTGATTTGCATAGTAATAATAATAATAATAGATTGGCGCTTACACATATGTTAGTGTTTGGCCAAGCTTCTCCTCCTATTTATGGCGTGCGCCTTGATGTTGTCACACAAAGCGGAGGGACCTACAGTTTTACGCCGACTCCGAACGGCGATTGTATTTTTATGAGAAGCTGTTTTTCATGGCAGAAATACACTCGGAGGTTTGCCATTGCCTGCCGAGGGACGACCGCTGTTAAGAAAAAACCTTTTTTTTCTATATTTTTGCGATGTTGCTTTGACCAGGGTTTGAATCCAGGCATTGTGGAGTGGAAGCGCGCACTGCTTACCACTACACCACAGCGGCCGACAATAGTGAAGACCCGTAAATTAGGGATTTAAAATTATACCATCGTAATCCTTGTTTAATTCTCTATAAAAACCTGGTTCAAAGAAATGGGGGGTTTTCAAGAACTATTTGTGAAATATTTTTATTTTCGACGAGATGGTTTACTTGATGAGAATCAACAATTATTTGTAATTTTTTTTCGAAAACTTATGTTAAGATATATGTATTTGGTAAGGTGTTAATCATGGGGTTTTTGCAAAAAGTAAAATTTTATTGCGCATTCCGACAGAATACCTTTCCAGGTATAATATTTGTACGGCAATATTTTTTTTAGGCGACAAACCCCTAAAAGTGGGCGTGGCAATTGTAGGACTAAAGTTTGAAAAACGCAGATTTTATTGCTGATTTCGGCAGAATATCGCATCGTTAACAATATTTGTTCCATAACTTTCAAAGAACACCATTAATACTTTATCTCGCTTCCGACACAGATATGTTTTCGTACAAAACTATGCAAAAAAGCTGTCAGTTTCCTACTCGCTCGTTTTTAGGCATGCCATTGCTACGATTTTCGAAAGCTCCAAAATGCGATTCGGATTGCAGCATACCATTTATATGATTCGTAACACAATCCGAATACAAAAGTGCTGCAGCATAGAAGTTTTTTCTCTCTTTCATGAAAAACTAACAACAATTAGAAAATTCGCAATAAATAATTCACAAAGACATATTTCTTTAAATACTTAGTATGTACAAATATTCTTCTTTTAAATGCAGTTTCGTGAATTGCTTGAACGGCCGTACGACCGACCTGTACTACGTCACTTAAAAAGTTTGTGATCAGTGCAACGCCGTGTTATCAATAACTATCGAGTTATCGAACATACTAATTACCACCGAAAGATCTTAACCTGTTTTCACGTAAGAAGTTTCGACTTCAATACATACCATCATGGGCGCAGCCAGGTAGGGGCTGGGGTGCTCGAGCCCCCCCTTCCCCCCCAACTTTCAAATTTTCCTTATATATATATAAAATAGTACCCTGAAATGCCAGCTTAATAGGGTCGGGCCTTCCCGCCCCCCCCATAAATTTCATTCTGGCTACGCCGATGCATACCATTTATGAAAACCACATATGTATATAGATTTTAGAATTCGTAATTTATTAAAGACATAAATTTAGAGATTTATAATTTTATATGTAATTGTTATTATACATAATAAGATTTCTATTAATATAATTTAAATCACAGCAGTCTTCATATATGCATATGCATACATTATATGTACATATATGTATGTATGTCAATATATGTATATAATTTAAACAACGTATGCGTTTTCTCTTAATTTTTCATTCCACAATCGTTACATGATGGTGTTTAGTTTTCTTTGTAATCTAATGTACACATGTACATTCATACATATGTATGTGTGTATGTAAGTCTGTTTTAAAATAAGCTAGTATGTACTAAATATGTAGTATGTATGGATATACATAGCAGTTTTTATTAGCGCACATTTTTTTGTATAGAAATAGAAAAAACAAACTAACTTAAATCAAATAAAAAATTTAAATTTTAAAAAAGTTTTAAATAAAAACGAACTAACCATCATTAAAACAAACATTTCTTACTTCCATAAGTATGTATGTATGTAAAAGGAGCTCTTGAAAATGGGCACTATTTACGTATGTATGTATGTATGTATGTAATTGGTAAATTGTTTAACTTATGAATACTGCGGTTGACCATAGGCATTAAAATAAGCTTAAACGTTATTTTTTGTATGTGCCTATTTATGCACTTGTAGGGTTGCTTGCCTGCATTGCATGATTTTTTTTTTTTAATGGAGCGGGAGTCTTTCAAGTGCTCGAAACGACTTCGGCTGGCTAAAGAAGTAAAATAGCTAATAAACAACAAAAATAAAACTATATATCAACTAAATAGATAGTATAAGATATTTGCCAATGAATACGGCAATGTTACATTTACTATAAGTAAAAAGTATTAACACAACTATATTTTCATTAAATTAGTGAAATATTTCGCTAAGCTGGAATGCTATATTCATTCTTACTGCTGTTAATATATTGACATACACCTATCTGCACATGCACATACATATGTACATATGCATGTTTGTATGTACATTTGATATTTTTATAAGAGTTTATTTATTTTATGCGTAAGTATGTATATTTTCTACTGTCTTAAATAGTTTCTTAAACCATGCTAGTGCCTTTATGTTACGCCATCATATGCATTTTTTATCGCAATTATGTAATTGAATTAACTTAGTTACAAATACATTAGGGTGCCCATCGAATTTTATTTATTTTTTTAAATTTCAAGACCCTAACCCCTAATTCCCTTCCATTTTATGAGAAATATTATTACATATTTTTATAGATTTTTAAAAGTCATTTAGAGGTCGCGACTTTCATTTTAGGTCAGAAAGCATGGTTTTGTAGATTTATCAGTTTTTGATTGACTAGTTTTCATTCAATTTTAAAGGTCAAACACGTTTTGATAAGAGAATTTATAGGCGTATAATAATCTGTTGTCCTGGATTGTCGAGATATTTCATCCAGCAAATTAAAAAAAAAAAAAAAACATTTTCTCTTATTTTTTTTTTTAAGTTTTGACCATCACTTATTTCCACAATTTCAAAATATGTCGTAATATCAAAATTTAAATCTATTTTCAAATAAACGGATACCCAATTTATTACAATCGCATAAAAATTGTCGATGTTAGGCAACTTTTCTTAAATACGGCTTAGAATTTATGTTGTGTATGTACCGGACTTTCGATTTTTTGAGCAGTGTGGCTAAGAATTTCATCAATGCTTATTCATAATTGATATATGCAATCGCTTTTTAGCAAAAAAGTGGCTTTATATTATATGATATATGCGTATCGCAAAAACTACTTGACCGATCTCGACCAAATCTGGTATACACATTGTGCTTAAACTCCTTAAGTACCGTCTTGAATATTTTTGAGATCGGACAAAACCTACTCCCCCGAAAATATAGCTAGTTAGCTTGAGCTTTTTGATATTACCTTTACGTTGGTGGAGCCAGTGGTTTTTGTACGATTTCAAAAATTTTCAATATGGCGCTTGAAGAGCCTAAGCCAAATGTGTATGACAAATTTAGTCCAGATCGATCAATTCGTTTTTGAGATACGAATAGATCATATACGTGAGCGGTGAACCCATTTTCCTAAAACTTCTTGAAAAACCACTTTTTTGCTAAAAAACGATTGTATATACTTATTTTGATTAAATTTTGATGAATTCCTTAGCCACACTGCTCAAAAAATCTGAAATTCCGGTACATACATAATAAAAATTCAAGGCCGTGTTTAAGAAATTTCGCCTAACTTTGACAATTTTTATGCGATTGCAATAAATGAGCTGTCAGGTTATTTTGAAATAGATTTAATTTTAGATAGTTTT